CCCTAACCCTAACCCTAACCCTAACCCTAACCCTAACCCTAACCCTAACCCTAACCCTAACCCTAACCCTAACCCTAACCCTAACCCTAACTTTTTAATAGGAATGCTTTCAGTAGGACATCCTTAGGAACCTAAATAGGATATATAGGAAGGCTTAAGACGACTTTCTGTCTTTCTAATTTTTTACCTCTATCCTCGGCCCGGTGTCCGTTTCCTTAACCGAAATATAATTACGTTTTTATCCTAGTATAGAGACTTTTTATTTCCTCTTTTACTTACTAAATCTAGACTTCTTAGCCTTCTTTGTGACGTACGTAGTGTATTAAAATTGTTGAAGTTAAATAGTTTATGTGCTTGTTCAAAATTCAAAGAAATAGTAGTCGAATAGCTTGCCTAGCTACCTTAACTTAGTTTACTTAATACGACTTTAAAATCCCTCTTACAAACGTACCTCTAATATTCCTCGCGGATATCTCCTCGTCCTTATCTTAGATAGAAGCGTGTTTATCTAATTACTTACTCAGGGGTAGTCGAAGGTAAGGTATCTAGTCTAACGTGACTGAATCCCAACTCTAAACTTTTCGGGTTCGGAAAGTCGGACAAAAGTCTCCACCAAACCCCATAATCCCGACCCCGAACCCCCCGCAATTCCACCCACGGCCCCGAGCCCGAACCCGAACTTCGCGGCCCGTGCCTCCATACTCTCTTATCCAAGTGCATAGGTGAACACCATCTCAAACCAGTAGACATTCAAATTTGAGGCATGCTCTGCTCAGACATTGGTTCGCATGCAAGGAGGGAAGTTCCTTTGGGTAGTAGCTCTGCCATTTCAACCCAAAGTGCTCGGTTCTCCGACCGACCGAACAATCTCACGTAAGACTCACTTCCCGAATCAAGCGCAATGAGCCTCCACGATGGCATACCAACGATAGCCATCAAAACTAGCGATGAAGCAATTAGATCGATTGGGTACCGCAAATGCGCGGGGTCGGCTTACAGGGGAAATGTCTTACCTACTTACTACTTCCTATTGTGGCTACGCCAGTGGCAATTCGACCTGGTGCCAACACATGAATGGAGAACGCCTTCAGATCAGCGTCTGACAAAGGAACCCCGCCAACATCATCACTCACAAGGCAATAAAAGATGAGATTGAACCCGTCTACATCGTGAATCCTAAGTCACACTCACGCAACCCATCGTGATATCTTTCCATCTGACCCAATTCCCCCAACCCAAATCTCCAACCGCCAAAATGCCCTACTTCTCCCGAAACCCCTCCTTCAACCTCTTCTACCTAGACGAAGGCCCTCGTACGGCATCCCACACAGTCCTCCTCATCACAGGCCTCTCGTGCGAAATGCACGACTGGTCCTGGCAGGTCCCCTTCCTCCTTTCCCACAACCTCCGCGTAATCTCCATCGACAGCCGCGGTCAGGGCAAATCCTCCGCCCCGGCGCCGGACCCCAAAATCCGCACCTGGCCCGGCGTCGAGAAATCCGCCGACGGGGAGGTGATAGACTACTACCCGCAATCCACAGCCGAAGACATGCTCGCCATTCTATCACACCTAGGCATCACCAAGAACCTCATCGTCATCTCGCATTCCCTAGGTGAAGCGGCAGGGTACTACATTGTCACCACTCGTCCGGACCTCGTGAAAGCATCCATCGGCGTAGACCCAATCCACGCCTTCCCCAATGCCATCCGCGAACGCGACACCTACCTCTTTAACGACCCCGAAGCCCAGGACAAGATCATCCCGACTCTCATCGAATTCTTCGGCACATACTGCTACTCCCCGGAATGTCCAGCCTGGCAAAAGACGTGGCACCTCCGCCGCATGGCACAGTTCGACAAGGCCGTCATGTACGCCCTGTGTTGGGGTGGCTGGGGAGACGCGCAGAGCCTGGGCAGGCAAGAGAATGCAGTCAAGGCCTTTGCGGGAAAGCTCAAGTTCCCGCGCCTAACGCTAGGTTCGAACGAATGGTATGTTGGTACTGACCGTGATCATCTGCCGAAGGGCGATGAGGCGCTAGATAAGATTGTGGTGATCGAGGGCAAGGGCCACTGGTTTCACCAGCTCGAGAGCGAGGAGTTTAATGGGCATTTAGAGAGGTGGTTTCAAAAGATCGGCGTGCTCCCGGCGGTAGAAGCTGGCACGGCGTCATGAGTGGAAGGCCGTGTTCCAGCTTTCTAGTCAAGTGTGTTGGGTGGTTTGGAAGGGGCTCAGATTCAAGTGCCGGCGGCGGCGTTCATAGTGTACGGACTGTCAGCCGCGACGCGGACGGTAAAGGGTCCTTCACGGGATGGTGTGGGACGCACCGTGACGGGGCTGTGAGAGGGGACTGCCGGCCCCATTCTCGGCCCTGCTTCTCGTAACCTTAAACAACCTTGATCTCGCCCTAAACACAGGCACAAACACAATAAAGGGGTTCGGTTCCTCACGAGTCTGTGTCGTGCATCCTGGAATGTAGTTGACTAGTTGTTCTGCAAATGAGTCGGACTCCCGTCCATTGAGTTATCCGGCAATTGGGATTTCCAACACACATGACTTGGAGTGGAAGTGATGTCTTTTCAGCTCTGCCGACCGAAGCGGCTTTAGGGTTTCACGGGATGGTAGTTGAGTCCGTCGCCGATGGAGGATAGGGCCAGTAGCCGGCGCTGGAAACTGGTGACGGACTGCTTGACATCGGAAGCGCGATAGAGTTGGGCGTGTAAGAGCCGCTCATCGTGGACATCGCCGAGGCCCCACAGTTCCGGCCAGCATTGCCGTCAAACGCCGGCACGCACTCACTGTTGCGGCGTCAATCAGCGGCAAAGGCGGGGATGGATCATGGAGGAGGACTAGGCGGGCTTCCAATGTGAGTGAGGTGGCTGAAGCGTTGGCTGCGTTGTGTGTGTGAACGGACGACTGGGCAGCAAAACGGCAACCCGCCGGCGGCGGTGCAGTGGCCGTGAGAATGCCGTCCGTCCAATTGGATGTGTCATGTCGCATGAATAACTTGCCGACTAAGTCCGTCGGCGATGAGGTCGGCCTGTGGCGGCCCTGTCTAGGATCCCGTCGCAAACTCTGGACGAGTCCGCTGCCGTCCCTCTCCATGGTTGCGTTGCGAGGATCCGAGCTCTTCGCTTCTTGTGATGTGCGCGCCGTCAAGGTCGGGGAAAGTTGGGGAATTTCGTCTGTGCTGCTCCATCCACGGGGAGATCATACTCATGGGTAAGGGTGGAAGAAGATGAGGGGTTCAACATCAGACCCAAGCTCCTTTTCTGCCCTCTCACCCCTCGCGGAATTCCAATGCAACGGCTTCTCTCCCACCATAGCTATGAGGAATCCTTGACGTCAGACTCTATGGCTCAAAGCAGAGGTCCAGTAACGGCATCGAGGGGAAGGTTGCTGACGACGCTAAAAGCCTGTCCCGCCTTGCTCCATAGGTTTTCCATGGGACGAAAGGCATCCTCTCTCGAGTAAGTGGTATTGCTTGATCCTTGAATCGCCGAATAAGATGCAAAGGGAATCTCGATGCTAGTGTCAGCTCGCACTATCAGCTGCTTTTGGGAACCCCATGGATGATAGTTGGGTATTACATGTTGCGCCATCAGCCAACTCTGGTAAACTTCGTACCTGATTTACAAACATAGTGATATGGCCTAGTCAGAAATTCCACCCCCTCGGTGCCTGGCAAGGTTCGACAAGCCTCGATTTCATACGAATGCCGCGTTTTGGCATCCGAGACTTTGCCATCCATCCATCCAACGGAAGAGACTTTGCCATGGCTGAACAGCCTTCTGGTTGGAAATAGTAGCAATGGGGTCTTGGCTCGTCGTGGCTTGTGGATCCAGCGGCATCGTATGCCGCAGATCATCTGGCTGCTGTCAGGGTCCAATGTCCTGCAGCTCGATGGGGGCACGCGCCAACGTATCAAGAACCTTTCAACGCGTGTGAGCGATTATCCAACAGGCAGAGACCCTGATGCACGAAATCAAGGTGTCGTCTGTGCAACTTAAGCCTCATGTTCAAGTCTGAGCTCAGGGTTTTTCGGCCTTAGACTCGGCGTATCATGGGTTCCTTTGACACCTCGGCTTGCCTTCTCAATACGGTTAGAATTGCAGGTTTGGCATTGGGCTCAGCATCCCTCTGCGCCAGCAAAGTCTGTCCTCAAGGTCGAATTGCTGACGACCATGTGTGGGACAGCTCAGTCCACAGCTGGATTCCCAACAAGAAAGAAGAGCCAACGAACAAAGACAGCTAGGTAACCGGAACCTGCCCCGGAGGATTCTTCGAGTGCGCCGTGTGAGACATTGGGCGCCCTAGTAACAAGCGCGGCGCGCTACTTGTGCGCTTTTAGAGTTTGACCGGTTCGGGGCAGGTCAAAGTGACGTCTCAGTCACTTCCGCCACCACCGGACGGACACCAATAGGCTTTGTCCTGACCCAACTCACCGAGGTCGTTCCCCGGGCCTAGGGACTACTGCACGCGCCGTGTTCGCCCGCGTTGCCAATGATGGATGAGTGGTCGACCTCGACTACATGGGATATGCCGCTACGACTACGAGCGATCTTAACCGGGATCAGCCAGATCAAACATTCTCCAAATTTCCACATTTATCGTGGGGAGCTTCCCCAACCTTGCCATTACGATTTGACCTCTTTACATAGCTTCAATGTCCGCAATTTCCCTTCAAGCGCGTCAGCTTTGGTCCTGTTGGGGTACTGCTGATGAAAGAGTCGCTCGAATGTCGAGCCCACACCGCCGCTGGATTGACGAGACCTAGTCGCCATGGCCAGCTTGGCCAAATCACAACAGGGCCATTCGAGGGTCGAGGAGAAGCGCATGACAGTAAGCCTCGGAGACCCCGGCGATGAGATGATATTAGCCAGGCTGATTTGTGAATGAAGCGCGACGGCCCCCAGCCACGAAGAGCATTCATCTCTGCGTCCCAACAACGACGGTCTTCCGGGTATCCAGCATCATGGACATCTAGATGGAAACACCGCCAGCAACCTCCATCAATCCGATATCAGACTGAACCGCAGGACAGCTCACCTGGGCCGCCGGTCCTTATTCGAAGAGAATCCTCCCAAACACTGCTGGATTCGGATGAGGAGCCGGAGCTCGTCCTTCCGAAATCCATCCAAGTCGGCCCAGAAGTATTATCGGTGAACCGCTTCTACACCAACTATGCCGCGCAAGCGAGTATCATGATTTTCAGTCGGCTTCCCGAGTACTACGATGTCGATCTCTCTGATGCCAGTCACGCACGACACGCCACACACGCTGTGGCTTTAGCGAGTGCCTCTCGATCACTCCGTCAGTCAGGGCTCATGGTCGAAGCTCGTCGACATTACGGCAAAGCCATTTCGACTCTGAACCAAGCCCTGCAAGACCCAGTTGCTGTGCGAGACGATGCCAACCTGGTCACGTTGTTTTTGTTTGGCATGTTCGAGGTATGCCTGAGTTGATCCCTTGGAAGCTAACGCCTATTATGTTTCGGGCTACTTTCCGAGTGTGCCTTAGCTAAACCCAGCAGGTCATCAATGGCAAGCGAGGCACAAGCACAATTGACTTGCAAGAGAACGTATTTCCCCACGGGGCAGGAGGCTTGCAGTTATTCAAGTTCCGGGCAGAACATGGCCTGACAAACGAAGTCGATAAAGCCTGCTTCACCTTCTTCTGTCATGCGGCGGTGAGTAGCATTGATCATTTCTACCATGAGCCCTCCAACTGATCTTTCTATGACAAGTTAATGGAGATGTTCATACAACGAGACCACTTGACGCCTCTATGGTCAATGCTGGAAGAAGTGGAAACTCCGTGGGGCAAAGGCCCGGTTCTCGAGCCGCTTGTTCGACAGGTAGTCGATTTCAAGAGAGCCTTTGACTTCAAGGTGCAAGTCCAAGGTAACTTGACCAGGTTAACCGAAAGCCCCCCGGAGGATTTGCTAGACCTCATCCGGAACGGGATCGATTTAAGCAGCGACCTTGAGGCAGCCGTCGCATTCCTCGGTTTCTCTGGTGCTTCAACATGCTCCGGACAGCAGCAAAAAGTCTTCAACGGTCTATTCTCACTGTCGTCCGAGTCATCCGTTGCTATCGCGCGAAGTCATTACCGTTCCCTTCGTGTATACCTCTTAGAGAGGATTATCGAGTTACGAAACACTCTAAAAGAGAGCAGCGGCAAAGTCGCCATAAGCTTAGGTCCTATGCCGAGTTGGTCGGATGGTGTCTCTGTCGTTGAAGACGTTCTCGAAGATATCCGAACGGTATTCGGCCTAGAAGGGAAGAAAGAGGCGCCAACTGAGGGCATTGCTTACAGAACCATGACAATGTTCTGGCCAATGGTTATGGTACGCACTTCATGTTTTTCAGGCCCCCATAATGGTAGGTGGGTGGCAGAAAAGATGCTTGAGTTAACCACGAAATCGGGGTTTGGCCTCGGTGTGGAAGCTGCGAGTGCTTGAAGGCATTGCTTCAGATCACCGAGGCGTTTCACTTTTGAGACAGGCTATCGGTCAGATCTATCGGACTTATTTCAAGACCCTTTCCGAGTAGCCTTCAGCTACATCGAAAGGTATATGGAAAATGGACAGAACGGCTGGGAATTTCACGAAGCTAGGAATCGGGCACATGAAAATGCATGTATTTTTGGTCATGGACTCACGAGTCACGGTCGGAACATGGGACAGATATCCTCCCATAGTGATGGCGAACTTACGAATAAGATACCATTAATGTTTCAAAATGAGGGCAAGGATGGGTATGCATTGGAAGCCTCGAGCTGTGATGATTGTATTGAAGCGTGTTTCTGGGAGTCGTTGTTGGCAATAATCCACCGCGCATGGGATGAGAATGGTCATCACGCTCTACTACTGCTGTCTTCGGTTGGGCTTTCGGGCAAACGATACGAGCGCCAAGTGGATGGCAAGCTCGAGCATTTGAGAGAATCGATCCGGCAAAGAATATCCGGAGGATTCATCAAGGTAGATGGTGAGTCTTAGACTGGCGCTGCTACGACGAATAGTGGCTCGCCGGTTAACTGCAGCGAGGGGAGCAAACAAGCCGCACGAAAGCAGAGAAAGGGTCGAGTGATTCTGTCAAACTAAGATGAGGACGACGAAGACGACTGCTCAAAAAGGGAGGCAGCGACGCGCAGGGTTTGAGCGCATGCCCTTT